CCGCCGCCGCTCCCCACACTGCCCACAGCCCCCCCAAGCACCGCCGCCGCTCCCCAACGCCCCCAACAGGCCTCCCGAGCGTGGGTGGTGCTCTGCGCGTTCGCGTTCAGAGCGTGCACCCGCGTTCTTTGAACGCTCGTTCAACGCGTTCAAAAACTGAACGCGGAACCCGCGTTCAACGAACGCGCGGTAACATAGATTGACACCTTATCTTCAGTGGTCGGCTTGCGTAGAAGGAGCCGCAGAGCGCATCCCGCTGTCGCAGCAACAATACTTGGATCCCTGGACGACTCGCGATCCTGCCTTCTTCAGGCATCCTACGGCAGAGCAGCTTGCGGCCATCAGAGAAGAAGAGGAGGAGGACGAGAGTATCGGGAGTGACGAAGACGACGACGGATTGGAAGAAGGCGGGAACAGCGACGAAGAACTTGGCGAAGAAGACGAGACCCCCGAAGAAGGAAGCTATAGCGAGCATAGCGAAGGGGAACAGAGCGAAGAAGAAGAAGAAAGCGAGGAAGGAGAAGAGGAGCACGACGAAGAGCCTGCTGGATCAGAGTGGAGAGCCGTGCCAGAAGAAGCGCTGTGTACGGGTACGGAGGCTGAGGATCTAGAGGCGGCCCGCAAAAGAAAAGAGATCGCGGCTGTGAAGGAGTTAGAGCTCGCAAGCGCGGCAAGTCTGCAGATTCACGACGATCCGAGCAGAGATCCGGAGCCGCCCCGGCCTGAAGATGGCGACCTCGCGGCCATGACTCCGACCCCATCAGCGCGGCGACGGAGCCGATCCCCCTCCTCCTCAACCCGTCCCCCAGTTCGCCGACGTACCGATACGGGCGATCGGTCTTCGTCCCCGATCACTCTCTCGCCGTCCCCTTGACTACCTCACCCTCCGCCAGCTCACCACCCCCATCACGTTCCCCTCCAATCCATTTCCTAGCGACACCTTCCGCCACTTCTACGTTGCTCGCCTCGCTATAGTGGTGCACCCCCACCCCTCAATTCGATGCGCCGTCCCAGCCTTTGCCTCCATGTCCTGCTCCTCGGTGCCGCGTGGCGAGGCCACAACATGATCGAGGTTTACTGCGTGGTAACGGGGAGCATCCCCGCATGTGATGATCGCGATCATTTCCGTGCGACACTCTTCCGGACTCTCACTACCCTCTATCTCGATTATCTCGCATCCCTCCCTCAGACTGGCAATCGCTTCCCCGCCTTCACCGCATTGTTCGTTACCAATAGCTCCCGGAGACTGTAGCCGAAATGGAAAGTCTCCTGCCCCCATTACCCATAAACCCTCCACCCCGCCATGCCGCCACGCACCGGCTCCCTTTTCCCCTCCCGGTTAATTACTGATGCAGCAGGGAATGGATGTGTGTCGCGGCGACGACACGAGAAAGATCCCGTCCTTGAATAGTCGAGGAACCCAATCTGAGGAACTAGTAGAAGAGCAGTGTTGCCACGGCGGATGACACCCACACGCAGTTGAACGGTAAGTGGCATAGAAGGAAGTGCTCCGCGCGTCGATCGATTAGAGAAATCGACACGTGTCAACAAGCAAGCAGGAGCTTGCTAATACTGGAACCCCCTGGGCGTCACGTACGTGACGAACCACTTTCTGTAATACGCGATTTTCTGCGCGGTTGCAATGAGGGGTCCTAAGATGGGAAGATTGGGCCAATTACGGGAGATCGGGATCAGTGGAGAATCGCATCAGTGTCCTCGCTTTTTCGTCCTTTTTTCGTCGCTTCATGTCGGATGATCGGGTTCGGAGCTAGGTGTGTCTTGGGAAGGCCGGTGGATTGATTGGCCGGATGGTTGTTTGGCGCGCTGCCACTCGCGCGCGCGATTAATAAATGTTGACGTCGTTTCTTTCGCTTCGGTTTTCGATTTTTTTGGGCGCGGACACCGCGCGGGAAATTGCTTTGTTCCTTTTGAATTGTCTTTTGAATTTTGTCGAGCCCCCAATGGCTCTCGGAATTTCGGACTTTCCTTATGAATTTGTGCTTCTTTTTGCTTTTTCGCATTAGATAGGAATTTAGTAATTAGAATTTTTCCTGCCGCACGGCGACTTTTGTTTACGCGCTTCTCCTGCGGCTGCAACGGTACTATGATTAGTAGGCGCCCTTAATTGCGTGTGTAACTGTAATTTTGGGCGGGCGCCACTGTAACTGTATCTTTCGTCTTGCACTTCGTCTTTCCCCCCCTCCCTCTCTTTCCTTTGCTGAAATTTCGAAAGTCGCGGCTTGCATGATCGGATCGATGCGTGGAGAAGGGTTACGTCCCCCACGCCGCGGCCGATCATGCAGAATGTAGGCGCTCCCTCTCTAATCCTCACTCKAAGTCCTAGTAATTCCGCGTTCTTCGCACATGCATGCACGCTATAAATTTCGGCTACGCGATTAGTYAGCTCTCTTAACCYGTTGTTGAAAGCTCGGGGTTGCGCGATCAGGAAGGGTCGACACACGAGCGAAGTAAGAGGTGAGTAGAGTCGGAGTTGGGCGACCTGACGGGCTGGTGCCGAACGCGCGGGATTGACGTGGGCCACGACGGACTGTGGGCACGGGCGAATCCGACGGGTGCGGGAGGACTAAGCGGGGTGACAACCTCGTGGGTTGGTGCGTGACGACGGACTGTCCGCATCGGAGAGAGAGAGAGAGGAGAAGAGAGTTGAGGTTGATGGACGTGGATTTGCTGTTTCTTTGTCTCTTCTCCCTCTTCATCTGTGTACATACATTTTGATTGCGGCTCCGGGCGGTTTGCCCGTTCTTATCTTCGTTTCGGCTCTCTGGAATCTGGACTTGGGTTTTTGCTCACACCTGTCCTTGCGATTGCATTATGTGTAAGATTGTCGAACGTATGGATGCATAAATGTCATGCCTGCTTGCCTATCTCTTTTGCGGAGAATCCCTGCCCTTGCTTTTTGTTTGTGCCGAATCTTTGCTTGCACCGGATGCAGCGATAGATGGGATAAGAATCTGGCCCCGATGTCGATTTCGTTCTCGTTTTTGCTTGTCCCATGATGAGGTCGTGGTATGATTGCATCTTTCATAACCGAGACTTACGAAGCAATTAGGCGATTCGAAGTCCGTCCCCGCGAGCGCCGCACGAGAACACGTGTAAACGCGATCCGAGTCGCGCCTTTACACGCATTCCCATGCGTCGACTCGTTCACCCCGAAAGGAATCACGGCGGAACCATCATCCCGTACGAGCACGCTGAGGTGCCACTGAGTCGGCCTGTCCTACACGTGCTCGTGCGCGGTGACGATATCCCGACCCGCGCTATCCCATCGACAATGATACTATGACGCGATCTTGGGGCTCAGACTCGTCCTATGACCCGGACTATTTCACCCCTATAATAAACGAGCTCATAAGGACCCGATACCCTTGTCACACAGAGAATCGGCTATGTCCGCGGGAATTCCACTGTGCCACCACTAGCGACCCTCGACGCTCCAATTTCCCTTCCCCCGACCACACCTACTACTTCACCCACCCGGGGTTCGTTGACATCACCACCAGTTTCCCTCCTTTCCGCCTCCTTCTCCCGTATCATCAACTCAGTGTCGTTCTGTGGCCGGCCATAGCCCCCTATTGGCMCAACACGTTTTGCGTAAACTGCCGACGCAGCGGCGCACAAAGAACCCCGGAATTCCGAAGGCCCAACCCAGCTACGCGGCGGCCTGCGCCACGTGGCGGCCCCCGACGGCCTAACTTTTTAGGACCATCCCCACCACAGAGGAATTTTCCTGTAACCCGTCGCCCGCAGTGTCCCGGCCCCTTTGGACTGTGAGACCCTTGCGCGCGTACCCCTCGTTCGCTTAATTGCGTTCATACCCCTAAAGACTCCCCCACTTCCCCAAAAATCCTTGGCACACCCCTTTTCGCACTTCCAGGCCCACACTCCACTCTGATCAGGAAGTCGCGTTGGGCGTGAGGTTGGGTGTCACATCCGACCTAGGCAGGTCCTGCTGAGTACTCCAGCTCTGGGTATTGCAGGTTTTCCTGTTGCAAAACGTTGAGGCCCTACGGCTATGAAACACCCGCGGCCGCAGTCACCACGAACACGACCACGGCTCGTGGCCTCGGCCGCGAGGCCGCCGTTATGACCGCGACAACCGCGATCTGCCGCGGCCCGCCACGTCCGAGGGGAGAGGGGGTTGGGGGTGGGGGTTTCGGATTGGGGTTCCGGAACCCCGACCCTACCCCCTCAAACAAAAAAAAGTTAAAAAAAATAATTTTCGCGGGGGTCGTTTTTGGTATGTGAAAAAAATAATAACAAAAAAATAGAAAAAAAAGCAAATCTTGATTGCTTGATTGTTTTTTGATTGATTGATTGACTGATTGATTGATTGATTGATTGATTGATTGATTGGTTTTTGATTGATTGATTGATTGATTGATCGATTGATTGATTG